TGAATTTCTTTGAACAGCGTTTTAGAACCGGCTTGCCATTCATAAGTTATAAAAGATTTTTTGTAGCTTTAAAAAGCTGCAATTTTTGAAATTTTTGCGGGCTTTTCGGAAACCATTCGAATTGTCAGCCCAGACGTTTGTAAGTATTTTATGAACCTGCTTTAGGTTGATTTCAGATTAAACAGCTTGACCGGAAGTCCTTACATTTAGCTTTTATACTGTAAGTGAATTTTTTCGCTTCATCGGTCATTTTTTTCGGTTCATTTCAGGATGTTGGAATTGCCACCAGACTGGTCTGTACAGTCAAAGGATTTGGTGGTATGGCAGTACAAGGAGAATGAATATCTGATAAGACCTGGTGATAAAGATGAAAGCGTCATTATTGTTTTGGAAGGAATTATCGCAGTTTACATAAGCGTACGCCTAAATTCTATAAAGAAATTTTTTTTCAAGTATGATCGAGACAAGTTAAAAAAAACGGCCAAAGTTTCAAGAGTAATTTATAAAGAAGGCAAAATTTGCACTTCTCGAATGGCTGTAAGTGATCATTTGCCTTACAGCACAAAGAAGAGGCTGGAAATTCCATGTCATAGTTGAGTCTAAAATAATTTTAAATTAATTTTTCCCATTAACAAGCATTTTAAATTAATTTTTCCCATTGGAACGAAACACTATGGTACTTTGATTTCAGCATACCGAAGGCAAGGAACACATGGTTCGAAAAATTTCTGTTGGTGACAGCTTTTTCAGTCTTCTCTCGGTGCTTGATGTCTTCATGGTATGTTTGGGATTGCTTCCTTCCACTCTCCAAAAAACATTAGCAGTTCTCCGGGCACTAATGATTATGAGGACTAATCGTTTTATCTACATCAAATTCTCAGTGACAATTATAAGAAGTTTTGAAGGTGTAATATATTAAAAATTAAATGAAGAAAAGCATGTGAAGTATTTTTTATACAAAAAGTGTTTTTTATATGAAAGATAGGGTCGAAGAAAAATTGATCAGCTGAACAAGAATGTTTCTGCCCCCGCAGCATTCCTGTTCAACAATACAACTGGGCCTCGTCATTACGACAACTGTAGTATCAAATGATTTTAAGTGCAACATATTTGAAATATATTCGATAAGAAAATGAAGTAAATACGGAATTTTTAGAGGGATTAGTTAAACAGTTGTGACCTAAAAATGATGGAGACGAAAATAATGGAGCAAAAAAGGAGTGGTACTATTGTGTTGGTGAAATAAATAGAAGTGCGCACCGGAATAACCAGTGTGATCGTGCGTTTTTGTGCGTTTTTGCCGTGCAGCGCTAGAGCGCTGCAGCAGGCAGCAAAAACGCATATTGCAACGACCCT